GGTGATTCATCCCATCCTAAGACAGGTGAAATCATCTCCTGTCATCGACTGGAGAGGGAACCTACAGACTGATAAAATTAGGAGGTGATGAATCTCATCCCTAGTACCGAGCTGAACTCTTTGGAGAAGATTCTCATTGTTTTAAGATGGGAATATGGGTTTTTATCAGTGGCATATCGTGGTTAGCAATGATGGCAAACACCTTGGAGAAGTCTGCTGTAATTAGCATGTTCTTGACTATTGCTCCATTCAGGAGCCACAGTCATTTTAAAGGGAAGAATGGGAGCACAATGCACATGTGGTAGAAGAGATTTCCCCTGGGGTGACAGTTTCATTCACAACTCAGGTTTCAGTACTGAAGAGTAGGGAAATACTGACTTCTCATTCCAACTGCAGAAGAGAGGTCTGGGTGGAAAGGGGTTGTATGTTTTGGGGGGAACACAAGCTTTTTCTTTAGTGTTTTGAAATCACACAAAATGGGGATGTTCTGGGTGTTTTTCTGCCTTTGAATTAGAGCTGATGGTGGAGTAAATGTGAGATTCCTAAAAGCAGCATGCAGTTTAGGTGGGTTTCAGGCACCTAATTCACAGAAAGTGAGTCATGAAAACTATGTCCTTGATGGAGAATTTATAGTGTCTGAACTTCCATTAGAAAACTTGTCAGAGATTTTACCTGTTGCTCTGATCTTGATCTTCATCACAGGTGCCACCACCTTGGCTAAAAGAAATCTCAATCTGAATATCCTCGGATCCCATTCCAACTGAGAAAACTGAAGTGTCCCAACTCCTTCATCCACCAAAGACCTTCTCTGGTACCTTCAGAGCAGAGCTGATGCACAGAGCCACGCACCCAACAGCACAGCAGCAGAGGCTGGCACATGCACACTGCAGGACACTGCAGCACAGGGGAGTTAAGCAGTGACAAGAGCAGTAAAATATTTAAGGTTTAACTTTTCCTTCTCATTCTACCAAAACCCCTTGAACCAACAGTGGAATCCCAATATATTGACAAGATTCTGGGGGTTTTGGGTGCCTATCTTTGAAAGGGCAGCCAGCTTGCTGCAGAGGTCTTTTAGAATGTCTCTTCCAGGGAATATTCTTTTAAGATCGCTAAATGAAAGTAATAATAAAGACCTTCAATCAGTCAGATAGAGGAATGTAACGTGGCTAATGGAAAACTACAGTGAAGGGTGATGGAAGGGTATGTTTGCTGTTGAGGAAGGGCATCATGTCTTCTGACTGGGAAACTGTTGCTTTGGTAGGGTAGCAGCTAATCCCATTCCATGTGGCGTGGCCTAGTCATCACACGATGAGCTTTTGAACTTTGTCAGCTCTGCTGGTTGCATTCTCTGTGCTTCGTGCCAGGTTTTGGCATTCCTCAGCCAAGATTCCCTGTCTCCTGTTTTGTCAGCGTTGACCAGATTCCTTCATGACACACCACTGATGCTGGTGGCCTTTTGATGTAATGTGTGGTGAAAGAAATGTTGTTGATACTGCTACGATTTTGCATTTTGCAGCAGCACAAGTGCCAAGGAGGACTTGGACTTGCTTTATTCAAGGGAATAGGATCCAAACACAGAAATCCATCGTGTTTTCCATATGGAAGCGAAATCAAAATAAAAGATCTGGACAAAAAGAGGGAGATGCATTTTTGCGTAAGGATTAGTCTCATTTTAATTGTATATCCACAGATTCTGATGGAATAATACAAAGCAAAAATAAGAATACATACTGAACAGCAATCTATGTCTTCTAGCATAAACCACCTAGTTACAAACACTTTAGAAAAATGACAGGTCACACATTTTTACAGGTAGGTTTGGGTTAAAAGGACCCACTACAAAGGAGAAAAAACTGAGATAGATCAAAGTGATACTGTCATGGTGACTTTTAAACTTCACTTTACCAGTAGCATGCTGTATTTCTGACTGCCAGTAAATATGGAAATACAAAAGAGAAAACATGTGCTTTTGGAGATAGAGCAATTTTGCCTGGTCATTTCACCTGCTGTCAGGCTAAACTGAGCTTATTGCCACCAGCATTTCAGGAGCTCTTTTGTTTTTTCATGTCAAATAGAGGATGTGCTGCTTTTAAAACCTTTCCCACGGAGGTTTCCTCCCATGTGGGATTGCACATCTGTAAGCAAATCATCTTTGGGAAAAAATAGATGGATAAATTTGCAAGGAGGTATGCTCTAAACATCCACTCACATTTACACAGCACTGTGAAGAGGAGACGGGATTCATTATCCAACTGAATATACAGCAGCATCTCAGTTTTGTTTCCTGGGTCTTCCTTGTGATTCAAAAGGATGATTCCTAAACAAAGTATTTTCACTGTATAAATCTGACACTGGTCAAGTCCTGTGGCTGCCTCAAGGAGCTGGGAACGTGTTTCCTACTCTGTTCTCAGGATGTGATTTTTCAGGCTGACGCTGGCTGAATGTTGAAGTTTGACATAAATTAGACAGTGAGTCAATACTGTGATTGCTGTGAATATTATGGGGGTCCAATAATTCTGTCTGCAACTAAAATGGGGCTATTTATGGATTCACCATCAGAAAAGCTCATGAGAGGTAAAATCCAAGCCCAGAAAAATGGTGTTGATAATTCCTGCTGTTTGATAGGATACAGTGCATTCATAAATCAAAGTATTAATCCTCTCAAGATGTTTTTCTGAGGCAAGGTCTGCTGTACACTGGCAACACTGACCAGTACAGCAGTACTGCTACAAGGATGGAGTTTATTTCATTATAGTTTTTAACCCTGTGGATATATACATGGCAAAAGTTCTAATGTCAATGGGCTTTTAAGAGCAAGATTTTGTATTTCTTTGCTGGTTTCTCAGCTGCATCTCCAATGGAAGCATAGAGCTTGGCTGATAAACCCCTCTGCAGATAGGCTTTGAGAGCAGCTCCCTGAGGAACTGGCAAAGAAACTTGCAAAATGCCTTCAGTCACCTCAGATCTCTGTTCTGTTGGCACAGCTCAGCTTCTATGCAAGGTAAATCCTGTCACCCAGTTGACAGCTCCCTCCCAGTGCAATTACATCTGTTTGCAGGCTCTGAAACCTCAGTCTGCTGCCCCTGAGCAGCTGGAGGTGGATCTGAGGTTGCAGTGATCTTCTGAAGAGGAATGCGGTATTTTGGTGGTGTGATTGTTACAGCACCTAGAGCTGATCTTGCTTGAAGCCTGTGCAGCTCAGTCAACACCAAACTTAGATTTGTTGCTCCACAGCTGGGAAAGGAACTCTGCCAATTTGCTTGTTTCTGTGTTTCTGTCAAAGCATTTGGGGCTACTTTGGTTTCCAGTAGCTTCTAAAAGCACTGAAAGATGTTAATGACCCTTTCTTTTTGTTGCTATAAAACCACACTTTTTACATTTAGCTACAGTTGCAGGTTCTTTTCTGTGTTGAAAAGAGTAATAGCCACCCATCCAGCCAGGAGCATACCATCTACGCACTCGTATCATTGTACTAACCATTCAAATATCGTGCATACTACTTAGAGTGCTGCGTCAGAAAGTGCTCTTCTGCAAGATGGTGCCAAAGAACTTCCAAACTGGCTCTGGTGCTCCAACAACAACCAACCTTCGTGTCTGGAAATGAAGCTGGTGTCTGCCCTTTTCCCAGCTGAACCTTTAGCCTTGCCCTCAAGGAATGACTTGAAAAAATAGGAAGTTTCACCTCCAGGATTGCTCATTCTGCAGTTGTTCTTCTGCAGTATCTTTTCTTTGGGAAAAAACAAACCTCTGGATTCCTCTGGCATGGTGGCTGCTGGGGATCGAGCAGTTGGTTTCTTCAGGTCCCAAGACTAAACGTAATCGAGGTTTCTTATCTCCCATGCCCATGTGTTCTGTAACAGCAGGATTTTTCCATGACGTTGGGAACATTTTTTTCCTGTTTGGTAATTACAGATGCATAAAAGGTTTCTGGAATTGTACTTTGAAAACATTATTAAATGATCTGTTGGCTTTATTCATTATAGAATTGTAAAGTTCCCTTTCAATGTCCCACTGCATTGCATTCTCGCATGAAAAGCAGATGATTTCTTATCTAAATGCATTAAAATGGTCTTAAAAGTAATAAGGACAATCTAGGTTGAAGCGTTGTCAGTGGGAGATAGTGCCTTCCCGTGCTCCTACACTACATGATTTGTGATTGTTACTAGTCTGAGCTAAAATTAATTCCACTGGAAGAGTCCTTTCTTTATTTCAGTGGGTTCCTTCAGTCCATCTGACAGCCCATGTGTGAGAAGGAACACCCAGCTTTGCAGGGTGGCTGAACCCGCTCGTGTTTGGTAATCCCCGACTGCTGCTTCTGCCTTGGAACAGATGTCTGCTGCCTGTGTGGAGAGCTCTGGCCAGAACTCCTTCTGTGGGGAGGTGCCATTGGCATGAAACCCACGCTCCAAAACCCCTGAAGCACGGAATTCACTGGCTCAGAATGAAGTTTCCAGAAAGCCATGGAGATTGGTGCTTGCTTGGTGCTTATTAGTAATATGCCAGTGAGACAGAATATGGGGTTTTCATCACCTTCAGTTTTTCAGGGGGGTGCAGTGCTCTGTTTGTCATGCAAAGGTCTGCTCGGTGAATACATCTGTGACTGAAGAATGTGAGAAAAACACATCAAAAGAGAAGTAAGTTGGAAAGCAGCTTTGGTGCTCCTTTGTAGCAGCAGGGAAATGGAGATCTCATCGGGAGCAGTTTTAGTCACTGAAAGGAAAAAAGAGAAGCTTTATATATGCAGAGGAGACAGCCTTATCTTGAGGAAAATCTTGCTTTGCTGGAATTGTCCTCCGGGGGAGCTCAGAGCAGAGTGAAGTGGTGGTGACTCCCAAGAGCCACGGGTTGGGGCTTGCCAGGCTTGAACTGTTCCTTAAGTGGTGAAATAGGCGATTCTTCAGCCACAAGGGGCTTCACCTGATGATTTGAGACTCGCTGAAAGACTCCGGTGAAATCAGGAGCTTCCAAATGATTTTTGGCCAAAGAGTTTCTTGAATTTTCTTCCCTCCTTTGCCCACAGAATCCTCCTGAGTCCGAAGCACAGATTTCAAGCCTCTCGGTGGCACATCTGCATCTCCTGGCTGCTGAGGAGCTGAACCCAGAGGCAGTGTCCTGCCTCACACCTGCAGCATTCTCCCCTTGGGTGGGTATGTATGTAGACGAGGCCCCTCGTTACCCAGGGATGGCAAGTAGGGAATGTCAAACATTTAGCAGCTTGTCTCCGCAATAGGAGGTATTAATAGTGAATGATTGTCCAGTGTCGTGAGATCAATCAATACAAGGACAAGGGGTGAAAAACTTCCCTGTCCATAAGGCTCCTTCTTAAAACCAGACCTTTTTTGGTGTATGTGCGCTGATAGGAGAAGATGATCATGAGAAGCTCTGTGGAGGCTGCCATACCATAGGGAACTCTCAGAGTTACCAGAGTGCCTTACAGGCTGAGACAGAGCAAACCAGGAGCAAACCATGGCATTTACTGCTAGCAATGATTTGGTGTGAGTTAAGAGGAACTGGCAATGGATTAACTGGTCAAGGCTGGAAGAGCTGCCTCGACTGGTGGGCACTTGGTATCTTCAGGAAGAAACACGCACTGGCTGTAGCAAGGAGGGAAATGCACTCTTCTCATTCCATGTTCACTAGTCCCTGGTTGCCACGTCTCTGTGGAGGGAACGGGGGTTCAAAGCAGAATGTCTCAGTGCTGGCCAGCAGCAAGTTAGAGGAAGGGTTTATAATTTAAACAAAAAATATATCTCTTTCGGGACTCGCAACTACTGGACTACAGGATGCTCTTAATTGACTAAGAGAAAACACGGTATCTATTTGCACTATTAATAGCTCTCCACAGACCATTACTGAACCATACTGGAACCTGTCCTGAAAAGTGCTCTTCTTGGCTTGCTTGGTTTTGTGGCTTTGTTTCTTTTTTTTTTTTCTTGTCTTTTTTTTCAAAGGAATATGTTTCCAACAAGTTGAATGGACTTTGCATCTCGGAGGCGGGGGAGGCAGGCTCCATGAGCTACAGAACTGGGAACGAGATGGTGACAAGGTCTTACACCAAAAGGTCATTTTCGTGGGTGGCTGCCAGGCTGCGTCATTCTTCTGCTCCATTCATTCCACTCTGCTTTGATTCACGACATACTGGGAAGGAACAGAAGACAGAGTTATTTTTAGGAAGCGAATTGTAGTAAAAATGTTGGTATTCCCACTATGTAAAAACCAAAACTACGAGTATGTTTGGGTGTAATCCTCTACTAAAGCACATCAGGGGAAAAGAGAATGTTATTCATAGCTTTAATGGGCTTTCTTCTTCTCTAAGGATGTTTCCTGAGTGCATAGGACCATGGAAAGGTTCCTGCCAGGTAGAGGAAGGCAGCTCTGCAATAGATACCCACGTGCACACCCTACCCCAGGTAATCTATTGAGGGGCAGTGTTTCTCCTGCAGCAGGGACCAGCCCATGCTTGGGAATGAGCCACAGTGGTTGTGGCTGCAGCCACAGCAGGATGAAGGCAGCAACAGCCTCTGGGTTTTACATCCCCCATGCACAAAGTGCCCCCATGCCTCTTCTGTGCTGAGTGAGCAGCACCAGGGTGAAGAGGCCCTGGGCTTAACCCAGTACTGGCTTTCCCATTTGTCAGTGGGTTACAAATGCAATGGTATCTGTCACGTGCAGCCAAACAAAGAGAAAGGTACAAATCGAACCTGGTTTCCTGATCTTCTGCTGGGGGCACAGGCCTGCTTGGAAGAGAACCAGCAAGACAAGACGTGAACCTCCACCACAGAATAACCACCCTCTCTTTTCGCCCCAAGGTCCCATTTGTTTCTCAGAACAATTCAGACTCAGCCAACAGACCTTGGCAATTTTTAGCAAAGCTCTTTTTTTTCTCTGGGAAAAGAACAGCAGAAACATGCACTGCTCCCCCTCAGGAGCTAGTTAGAATAAAAAAAGAGACACTATATCACTCTGAAGCAGAGCCAAAACCAGGCCAAATTATCCTGGCCTAGGATTTTGACACTGTCTCCCAAGCCTCCCTATGATTTTCCTTCCCATCTAATGTTACAGCCTCATATCTTGCCTTTACAGACAGCCAAGATGTGCTTGACAGCAGTTTTTGCCCCTCTGCATTGCACCATCCCACAAATGCTACAACTGAATGTCAGGAGAACGTCCCCGGCGCCTCTGGCTCTGCTCCATGACCAAATGGGTTCACTGGCAGAGGTAAAAGGCAGTGTCAGGAATCTGTTGGCATAGGTGAAGGTCAGTAACACCACGAAAGTGATGGCAAAGGGAGCTGTGAGGGAAAGGAGAGGTCCCAGACACTTCAGTAATGTCCTGTCGGCTCCAGACATCTCCTGAGAGGTCAGACCTGCTTCCCCAGGGGGGGCACCAAGCAGTGGGGCCACTTGTGTCACTAAAGACTGGTTTTGTAAGTAAAGGATAAAGAAAACGGAGTAGTTACCTTTCCCTCTCAGCCATGTCTTGTTTCTCTTCTGCCCTGTAAACACAAATCACTTTTGAAACCTATCATCTAGAAGCAAGCAGTGTGATACAGTTCTCCAGGGCATTTCTAGGGCACTAGCTGGAACCGGGTGAGCTTTCAAGTCTTTTTAACCCAAAGCAGTCTGTGACTGTGGTCACTCTCATGCTGACCCAGCTGGTCTTGCCTCTGCCCATGACTGCCTTTTGCTTTGAGCAGAGCCAACTGCTACCACTGTTTCTAACCGAAATCACTGGCGACAGAACAGGCCTAGAAAATGAAACAGAGCTGTCAACTAATGTCCCTCCTGAAGCCACTTCAGCAGAATGAAGCGGCTTTGGAACTAAGCACCAGCTCTCACTTTCAGGTCAGTTTGCAGGGTTGTAGGGGGAAAATGTGCTGTTTCATACAGGGTGATTTCTGCTGACCTTTGCTAGCACCTGCAGTGCGAGCGCAGCGCGAGTGCACTGCTGGGGTTAAGAGGAACAGATCTGTGGATAAATAACCTTCGAATCAAGGTGCTTCTCCCTCCTGCAGCTTTTGCTTACTTTGAGAAAATCAGCAGGAAGGAAGTGTAGGCTGTGGGGGGTATCAGGGAGGAGGAGCACAGAATTGACTGGTTATAGCACAAATAGTGATGAAGGAATGCAACAACATCCTACAAAATGAATCCCCACCTCTTCCCCCTTCCCACAGCATTAATTTTACCTTTCTTTTCTGGCCTTGATCCTCTCTTCTTCATATCTGCAACAAACAGGAAAACAGTCTGTAAGTGTTACCTTTAGTAAAATGCAATGTTTGCTCTGAAGGTGACAGAAACTGCAACCCAGCACATTGTGCAGGCTCTTGCTTGGCACCAGGATAGCAGCAGCATAGGGTTCCAGTACATGGGGTCTGACCCAACTGGTACACAGCACTTTTGTCCTGCTCCTCCTCAGAGCCACATGTGCCCCAGGGTCCCTCTGCCACTCACTGTAAGACGCAGTCTGGGATCTGCACGTGCTCCATTGGGATGAGTTGCTCCAGTTCCTCCAGGCTGTGGACATACTGGATCTTATTGATAAACTTCACACTGGCAGAGAAAGAAAGAGTGTGCCTGAGCTCTTGTTTTGATGTTCTCTCCATAGCAAGTCACAAGTTTCCCGGTGGAAACGGGGAGCTCTGCATCTCTGTATCCTCTTTGGTCTGAATGTTCTCAGCTCCTGCCAGTGCTGATCTGCCAATGACTACAAATTGTGGTGAGGTGCCACATTACTGTACCTCACGTTTCTTTGACCCTTGCTCCCCAATATCCATAGGAGGAAAAAAGGACCACCATTCCTGCTCTTCCCAGGAAATCTTTATGCGCTACCCACTGGGACAAACTTTGATCCGGATCCAGACCACCACAGTATCTCCTAAAACCCCTCTAGAGTTGGCCTTGGAAGCGTCAGGGAGATGTAGGACAAGAGACAAACAGAGCCACCTTGGTTGCTACGAGTTAAAGGTGAGCTTAAGATCTGGTTTGTGAGGTTAAACTTTCACTCCAAACCCAGCCAAGTTTGGGAACACATCACAGTTACCTGATGAAGGGTCTGGATATGGCCAGCACTGTCCGGATGAACCACGAGGGATGCACGATTATCAGTGCTTTGAGGTTTTTACGCAGCCTGTGGAAGAGCCATGGGACAGAACTCAGATTCAAAGTACCTTTCCTTAAACTCTGTCAGGGCACTAGCAAGTGTCATGATGCTGACCAGCCTCAGGTGGGTGTCTCCAGACAAAAGCCCTGCCCTTGGCCTTAGGAACCCTCTTTCAGCTCCGAGCTGGCAGGCTGCAGGAGCACTGCCTTGCTTTTGGGTGCTGTATTAGGCTGATCTCTGTGAAGGTGCTCGTGAGGGCAAGAGGGTGATGCAGGGAGCCTGGACTAAGTCAGAAAGCTCTAACAGGATGGAATCGCAGCATCTGCAGAGGGAGGAAGGCAGAGTGGCTGGGAAGGCTGTGAGGAAGCAGTGGAAGAGATGTGGGAAGAAGACTGGGAAGAATGAAGAGGCAACACCAATGGGATCCTCACCTTCTGTCTATCATCTGGTAGCATTTCTTCAGCCAGCCCAGGCCTGGCATCCTCCTGCGGGGTGTTGCTCCATTCAGGTACACGATCATATAGTCCTCAGCTACCAGCAGCTCCAGGCTACTGATCACGTATCTGTTGGGTGGTGATCAAAAGGAACAGGAATGTGAGACTCAGAAAAGGTCCCTGAGGCTTCCTTTAGTGCCCGTGTGCTACCTCAAAAGCCCTCCAGACCCTTTCTTTGTAGGTCTTGGAATAGAGCAGGAATCTGGCACCACTGTAGGATTATTATTTCATTATGCCCTGCAGGGGTATTTCTCTGGGATCACTGTTCTCATAGTGCATGAACTGATGGACATCCTGCACTGTTCTTCTGCCTAGCAAGAACATCTACCAGCTCTTCAGCACTGTGTACATATGCTCTGCCCTGGCTGTGAGTCCATCACTGGCATAATTAACACTGAATGGTTGAATGCTTTGACTCATTGGACTTGGATGTGAACTCTGTGGACAGTGTCTCACCCAGTGATGCTCGCCCCAGTCTGCAGCTGCACCCTGGGTACCTTTGGCCTGGATTCAGACTATTTCCAGCTGAGGTTTGGGATGCGCTGAATACATGGAAACTGCTTCATTGGAGCCCCAGTTACCTTCCCTGCCCTCCTCTTCCCTCGCAGACCTTGCCCACCACTTACAGGAAGAGGTTCTCCATGATGTAGTGGTAATCAGCCAGGTTACTGTCTGGCAGATAGCAGGCAGCAAAGACAATGATGGCATTGAGACCTTCTCCATAGTATCCTGGGAAAGAAAGACACAGGCAGCATCAGTGACATTTTGCAGGGGAAGATGTGAGAGCTGAAGGGAAGATGCATGGCTAAATTTGGGCCTGGGCTGGTTTTTGTGCCTCTGTTGAGCTCCAGGGAAGTGTTTGTATCTCTTACAGGCCTCTCACACAGAATTGCCCCTGCTCCTGGTTTTGGCTATAGCATGCACATAGGATTTGGGGAAGGAATTTGTGTATGTCACAGCACATTGCTGGGAGCTTTGCCCTGCGTTGTGGCTGGGATTTGCTTGAATTTCAGGGATGGTCACTCTCTGGAGGTGCTGGCCTTTAGCTGTGCCACTGGAGACAGCTCAAGTGCTGAGCTACAGAGGGTTCAGGTACCTGCCGGCCCTTCATCGCTGGGGATGCCGGTACTTAACCCGGGCTGAAGGTCAGGGTATAGTCACTCTTGGTCAGAGCCAGCATTATCCCTACTTTTGCTTATTGAAGCATTGCTCCAGCAGCTGTGTGTTCCTTAGCACGAGCTGGGTGCTTTGTGCTTCTCCGCCACACAGCAGTACAAACCGAATAGCAATATCCCCCTAAGGACCGGCAAAACAACCAGCGCCAGCATCCCCTCCAGCTCAACAAAGCCACCAAGGCAGGACCAGGCTGTCCTCCTCCTCACCTCCGTGTGTCACCACCCGCATGTAGGGTTTGATCATCTGGAGGTCGATGCGGTGCTCCTGCTCCCCAATGATCACAGTCCTCCAGAGCCGCCCGTTGGTAGCACTCCCATCCTCTGGGCCACCATCCCCAAAGAGGTCTGCGCTGTCCCCTGGCATGTTCTTGGCTGTGGCCACAGGAGTGTCGTCTGGGAGAGGGACAAACATTTCTGCCTTTCATAGAACGGATGGAGAGGCTCTGCGAGAGCTTTGGTGGGCACTTACTGACGGTAACAACCACAGGATCATCTGTTTCATCTGCAGCTTTGGTCTGTGTAAGGCTGTGGCTCTTAATAACCTAGAATGGGCTCGGTTGAAAGGGACCTTAAAGCTCATCCAGTCCCAAGCCCCTGCCACGGGCAGGGACCCCTTCCACTGGAGCAGCTTGCTCCAAGCCCCTGTGTCCAACCTGGCCTTGAGCACTGCCAGGGATGGGGCAGCCACAGCTTCTCTGGGCACCCTGTGCCAGTGCCTCGGCACCCTCCCAGGGAAGAGCTTCTGCCTCAGAGCTCATCTCAGTCTCCCCTCTGGCAGGTTCAAGCCAATCCCCTTGGCCTGTCCCTGTCGGCCTTTGTCTAAAGCCCCTCTTGTTTCTTTGTTCCAGCCTTGCTCCATTGCCAAATTGTAATAGAAATAAGCTTAACATCTCATGCTGCTGCTTATAGTACCTGCAGTCACAGGTTGAACACCAGGCTCTTTGTTAGATCTTCCTTCAGCTCCCTCTATACTGACTGAAGAGGGCACTGCCTGTGCCATCAGTCTTGTGATCTACCAGCAGAACTGCCTGCAGGAGCCCTCCTGAGCCCCATTCAGCCAAAGCCAGGCAGGTTAACAAAGACCATGTTAGTGAAGATGTCTGAATGGTCACTGGCACCTTCCAGCCTGGGGTGGTGGCCCAGCTGCAGCAGGAAGGGGATGTGTGTCCACAGCCCATGCCATACCCTGAACTATGGTTAAACTGGTGTTTTCAAGTCCCTGAACTACTTCTGCCTGCCCCATCCCCAGATGGGAGTGCTGAGATAGCAGCAGCTGGGGTCCTGATGGGGCAGATGCCGTGTGGAAGATGGGGCTTGGTTGTGTGTGCTGTGCTTGGCTGCTGTGGAAGTTGGTCCTCAGCTGTTGATGCTGAGTGGTGTCAAAAGTGCTTAAAATGAGGTTAAGAAAAGCCCCAGCCCCTGCAGCCGTTCACCCAGAACCAGCTTTTTACCTTCCCATTCCAGCTCGTTCCCATTCCCCAGGAATTCGAGGGAATCTGTCTCGTCAGGAGTTTCGATGTCATCCACATTAATGTCCAGGTCGTCTGGTGTGTCCAGGAAGTCATCGGAGAGAATGGAGCCTTCACTCTGGTCCAGGGAAATGTTGATTTCAGGTGCAACAAGCGTCTTCCGCTTACGATGCGCCCCGTTAAAGTTTAAAGTATTGGGGGGAGCTGGAGTTAAAAGGAAAATAACTGACAGGTTGTCCTCCTGCTGTATCCTGAGTGCAAGACATGGTGCTGTCATGATCACATTGCAAGCTAGGGCCTTGGAAGCTAAGGGTGGTGGATCAGAGCTGGGCAGTACTGGACACCTACAGGTGTGGGTGGGTAAAAGTGCCCACGCTTCCAAGATGCCTTTCTCCTCCCCCAGCTCCTTGTGAAAGATTAGCAAATTCAAATCTCTGCTGGTTTCATTTCCCACATGGGGATTTTGATGGATACTCCAAGGGAGCTGGCTCCCGCCCTAACTGCAAGCTGGTACTTACAGGATGTGTTCTCATCTTCCGTAGGGCTGCCCAGTGACTCCATCCCCGTCTCCTCCGGGAGAGGTCTGCAGGCAAGCCGAGATGTGGAGGTCAAAAGACAGGAGGGAACAGGTAATGTTAAGGAGAAAGGCCCTCCATGGCAGGCAGTGCAGAGAAGAGGGGACATCAGGGGAAAACCATGCAGCCCCCTGTGTGCTCTGCCCCTTCCCTTCTGCCTGAGAGCTCAGCCTGGGGGACACTGCCCAAGAGCAGCCCAGCACCTGTGCTCTCTGCCTGGGGTCCTGTGTGATCCCTGGTAACCTCCAAGCCATCCCACCAACGCATCCCTCCGGCTGCCATTCAGCCAAGAGGCTTCAAAACCCAGTCAGGGACAAGGGGACAAATCCTGTCCCCCGATGAGCCTAGTAACATCCTCACTTTCTCCATATCATCCCCATTTTTATCTCCATCAGAAGTCCGAGAGGCAGTGCCAAGCTCTAGGGCACCTCATCAAAGGAACCAGGGAGCATCTTCTGCAGTTTTCTGTGCTCCTGTTCCCAGCACAGTGTCCAGACAGCCTGAATGCAGCTGTTCTTAAGCCCAGGGAGGGATGCTTTGATCCCAGCAGCAGCTGAACTAGTGCTGGATGCTGAGCAAAAGAGCACTTTGTGCTCTCTGCTAATGGCTCTGTAAAGTGCATCCTGCTTTCTGTCACAGGCCCTGGCTGCAGCAGAGAACTTCATCCAAACACAACCACCTCTCCCAGGAGGCAGGTCAAGAGAGAGCACCTTTGCTCTAAGGCAGTCTGTTCAACACAAGGATCAAATCTCAGCTGTGATCCCAGAATTGTCACCTCAGCCTCATCTGACAAGAGCTGACAGTGACACCCAAACCCTGCCAAGGGTTGGAAGCAGGTTCATCCTGAGCTGAGATGCAGGCACCAGCACTCAAACCCATATTTCGGTTCCAAAGGCTGACCCACTGCTCCCTTCCTGGGTTCCATGGCAGAGGTCAGGATCTGCAGCTTGTGCCTGGCTCCTGGGAAGGAGGGTATCAATCCCCATGTCTCCAGCCAGAGGCTGGAAGCACTGATTCACTCAAAGCTGACTTTCCTGTACAGATGCTAATGTCCAATCTTATGATGTGGCTGTCACCCTTTGGAAGCTGATGAAGTTACCCCGATAGTGGTCAGGAGCAAGTGAAGTCAGGATATGGCCCCCAGTACTGCAGCCAGGAACCCTGGCTGGTGGCTGAGCAGCACTGCCACCCTGAGCTGGACACCTCCTGCATGCTTTTCCCCTTCATTTGAGCTGGGCCTTGTGCCTGTCCCCTGGTGACCAAACCCCACCAACCCCCCGGCAAGTTCACGTTGTCAAAGGTCTGTTTAAAAGGGACCTTCTGAGCTGTCCTCGTTTCACCTGCCCCTTGCTGGAAGCTCCCCCTCAAGGGGGAAAGAGCTCATGCCCCAGGCATGAAATCCTGGGTGCTGGGACAGGGGGGTACCCACCAGTCTGAGGGCAGCAACAAAGGGATAGGGCTGTGCACAGGGCTGGGGTCCAGGGGTGATGGAGCCCCGTACCTCTGCATCCACAGGCTCTGCCCTACAAAGGCTCTTTTTTTGTGCTGGCATCACACCAGAGCCACCAGCCAAATTAAACCCTATAAATATTTAGATTAAGGGATAATCCTCTCCTAGCTGGTTATTGTATATTTATGAGAGTTGAAGGCCTGATCAAAGGCGCTTGCTCCTTGCTAGTGCAGCACCCAGACCCCATGGGCTGCCACAACAGTCCTGAACACCCAGAAAGGTCCCTCTGCCCCCCTCCATCTCCTCCTCCTTCCTTTTGCTTTTGTCTGCAGAGGGCCCGGCTCCTTGTTTGTCTGTGAGCTGCGCCTGGCACAACTTGAGGATAGAGCATCACAAGGGGACCAGGCCCAGCCGTAGCTGAGTACGTGCTGCAGCCGGGCACTCCGTGCTCCAGTGCTAGGATTCATTTAAGGAAAGCAATTCCAAAGGCGGGGGGGGGGGAAGAAAAGGCCTTTCTTACCTTCCCCAGGGGGGGCTCAGCTCACCGCCTCCCAGTCTCCCGGGTAAATCCTCCTTCCCAAACGCAGCCAGCCCCAGATGCTCTGAAGGAAGCAGGTTCCCTAAGCGCCGGGTGCCACCATTTTCCTTCCTGCTGCTCACTTTCCTTCTCTAAGCACCTTCTCTCGGGCCCCAAGCAGCCTGAGCCGTCAGCGCCCGTGAGCCGCGGGATGCTGATGGAGTGAGCATGCTCCTGCATCCGCCCCGCGGCAGCTCCAGCATCAGCGCAGGACCGCGCTGCACAAGCCAGCTGAGACACAGAAACCTTCCGGGAGCGGCAGCAGGGGGGACCCTTTCCTCCCCGCTCGCTCAGTGCCCTGGCGCTGCACCTTGGAGCTTGTGCCCGGAGGGACGGGGATGTCACCGGGTGTCCTTAGCGAGCGGCTCACTTCAGTTTCCCCGGCCCTGAGCTTTGTCTAGGATACGGTGGAGTCTTTTTTCTGTGGCAAGATTGGTTAATCACAAATCACAGCTAAGCAAAAATAGCTATGCAGCAAATCATCTGCTGGAGAGCTGCTGTCCCACATGCAGCAGCTTCTGCCCTATTATTTTAATACTTTCGGGGGGGGAAGTGTCTTGAAAATGATCATTTCTTTATTTCCAGTGCTAGTTAAACACAGCTGCAGCCACTCATTCGCCTCCTGCCTGGTTGGGCCCTATTGCACTTGCATCATTCCTGATTTAATCCCTCTGCAGCAGCCCATCAGCAGGCTGGGGACCTGCAGCAGCCATGGTGGCATCCTTTTGCCTCCCCCTGTGCTCTGTTTGCTGGGTGGGAGTGATGCTGCCTGTATTAGATGGGGCTGAGGGCTCTGCAGAAGAGATGCCCCCTGAAGGCTTGACTGTGGCTGGGGTCAGTTTGCTGCTTGCAAGGCAAGTGTGAAACAGCCTGGCAGCTCCTGCTCCAAGGTGGTGGTGGGGGTTAGTGCCTGGGTATCCTGGTGCTAGACTAGCTTGGTCCTACATTTTATCATTTAATCCCAGATTGGTTTGGGTTGAAAGGACCTTAAAGCTCCTCCAGCTCCAACCCCCTGCCATGGGTAGGGATACCTTCCATTAGAGCAGGTTGCTCCAAGCCCCTGTGTCCAACCTGGACTTAAACGCTTCCATAGACCTTTGGGGAGCTTTGAGTCAATGCTTTCCCTTCTGTACCTCACTTTCCCTTCTACTCAATTAAAAGCTTTTCAGCACAGTGCTCGGGGGGGAGCCTTAGGTTGGCAGAGCTCCATCAGCCCAAAGCTCAGCTCTCAGAGGAAAGAAAACCAAGGGACCCATCCGAGGATCCCAAGGCCTTGGCTGAGCCCATCTCTGGCCAGCGGAAGGATGAGCCGTGTCCCACGAGCCGGGTGCTGTGCTGGCACACAGAGGTGCTCAGATCAGTGCTGCAGCTGGAGCCAGGGTGAACAGAGCCAGGCTCATCCATGGTGCCAAGGGGAACAGGAGACCCTTTCTCACAGGGCAGGGGCTGTGCGTGCCCCCCCGCAGAGCACACTGTGCCTCTGTCTGTGCATACAGCGGCTCTGTGGGCTGCTCACGGAGCTCAGCTGCAGCTGGGACAGGGAGAGACAGCCCTGAAAAGCCCCTCAGCTACACAGACCCCAGCTGCAGTGATGGATGTGTGGGGCAGCACCGTTGGATGCACCCTTTGGGTGGCTGTGGGGAGTTCAGGGCACACCGAGCATACAGGGATGCTCTCTTTGATATTCCATACTATTAATAAAGCACCTGTGAAGGTGAAAGATGTCACTTTGGCACCTTCTGTCACCCACACATCATCTCTTACAAGGTTTGCGACCATTCAGGTTCTGCCTGTCAGTGCCCGTGGTCATTGCATCCCAGTGACTCTGCTTCCTGTGGCGAATTCCTGGCGAAGCAGCCACTGCTCTGTCTGGGGAGATGCTGCTTGATTCAGAGACTGGGAAGGAGTCCATCCACCCCCATGTGCCTCCATCCATCCATCCATCCCTATATGCATCCTTACTAATCTCCCTGTGCTCCATACCAGCTCCTTACCCTCTCCTTGGTGTGCTCACAGGGGGTTGCCAGAAGCCTCCCAGAACTCCTAAGCATTCAGAGCAGCCTGGCTATGAAAGCTCTGTTCTCTGGCCAGAACTGCCCTGGTGGAGTTCAGACTCCTGTTGCCTCAGGTGGGAGGGCCCTGCATGCTCCATGCCCTGCAGGTTTCTTACAGGAAGAAATCAAATTCTCCTTGACTTTTTTTTTGGCAGGGAACAAACCTTGGGAAGTCCTCGTCTTGCCACTCCTCCTTCACATCCACGTTTTCCATCCGCAAAGTGGCCTCTGTGGTCCCCATGGTGCTCAGAGAGGGGCCGGCTGCACAGCAGGTCCCTTGGGGAAGGGCTTGGGCTGGAAGGTGGAAGGCAGAGGTTGGCACCAAACCATTCAGAGCAGGTATGCTGACACCCTGCCCCACAGAGAAGGAAGGGTAATGGGACTTGTGGGTACTTGTCACGCTTTGGACAAGAGGGTGAGGCTGGCCCTGGGCTGAGGCAGTAGGTGCATCTCTGTGCTGTTGTGGCCTTAGCTCATCTCCCTGAGAATCAACACTCTCTGGGCCAATGTCCACCCATTTCCCCCTTGCTGCTTCTCTTCCAGTACTAAGCTGAACATAAACAGGTACCTCTGAAGTGTGGCAGAAAGGGAAGAGAGGAAATTGCCCCTCCCAGGCTGCTTTTAGGTTGGGTTGGCAGAAGCACCATTTTGCTGGCCTGGGTAGAAGTTAATGGCTTTGGGTTTGGGTTTTGCAGAGCAATTCCCGACTGCTGCTCCTGGTTTGTTCTCCATCCCCACGCTTGTCCCTGCACCCTGAGAGAAACGGGGCTGAGGGCTCAGGACCAGCTCTGGTCAGAGGGAGCAGGCAGGCTGGATGCTGCTGTGGCTGAGCTTAGCTGCACCTGAGTCTGGAGGGGACAAGGTCAGGCCTTATCCTGTACAGAACTCGCTGATGTGAAACCAGCTCCTGTGTCGGGCACGTGCATTAACCCACTGCAGGTCGGCTCTGAAACGTTCTTCCTGCAATCAGCTTTTACACTGAAAATGTATCCAGGTTCTGGCTGGATCATGATGTGTTCTTTTTAGGATAAGGGACCCAGGGTGATTTCCCAAGCGGAATCAGCCCCTAGCAGAGCCTGACCCATTGCTGTAAGGTTTTTCTAGAGAGCCAGTGCCTTTTCTGCTTCCTTTGGAGACTTGTCTTTACAGGGGATGCTGCTGGTGATGATCTGAAGAGAGACAAATCTGTGTGTATCTGCTTTAAAGGAATGTAGAGGCCCGAGTAAATCCAGCATCCGCCTTTATGACAGGCACGGGCAGAGACTGGGATCAGCGCGGAGAGCTGCTGGGAGCGTGGCAGCTCTCCACCCATCCCAGCGCACACGTTCTGCATCCTGTCCTTACGCTGGGCTGCATGCGATGCCCATGCCACTGTCACACATGTCTCCATTTTTGCTTCCTCTACATGCAGTCAAAGGAGATACCTTGGGGCTGAGAGAGACCCCACCTTCCCTCCCTCCTCCCCACCGCTGTCATCAGCTTTCTGCTAACCCTGCGCGCATCATGGAGGGAGGAAGAGAAAGGAAAGGTATGAAGCAAATCCCAGGCTGGAGTGGGATGTTCCTCAGTATCAGACATCACCCAGCAGTATGGAAGCCCAGATGATGCTGTACTCACCAGTGCCTGTGGCTAGTGAGGAACAAAGGAGATCCTGCCTGTATCCCGGGCAGGCATTCCCCCGATGGAGATGGGCTGCTCAGGAGGTCCAGCGCCTGGATCCGGGCGCAGACGTGTGCGGCTTTCCCAGCGGAGCGGTGTGGGGATGCATCTAGGTCGGCCTTTCTCACAGCACTCCTTGCTTGGTGATTTGGATTTCGCTGTGAATTGAGGGCAGTTATTTGTATTCTTCCATGGCTGCTGCTTCCTCTGCTGCCTCCCTCCCTTCCAAGGTAGCTGGTTATTACGTTCTGCTTGCAGCTGGCTAAGCCTCAGCTCCAAGGCAGCCAATTGCTTTTGTGTGTGAGGAGGATGGCGGTGGGGGTGCTGGCAGGGAGGGGGTGCTGTGGAGGATGGGAGGAGAGAGGAGCTGAAAGCACCCCCCTTCCAGTGTCACCGCTCCGCCAATTGGCTGCAAGGTACCAAATATCTCCCTACACTCTTCCTCCGGATGAATGATGCTGCCGGGGCTGAGCAGTCTCCTTGCTGCTTTCAGTGGGAGCGAGGGATGCCCATCACCCAGCAGGATCTAGCCCTGGAGGAGAGGTGGGAACTGGAGAGGGGTGGCTGGGAAGGGAAGGGCTTTTTAATACAGTCATCATTCCCTTAGAAAGTCAAAGGTGGCCTCACCCTCGGTAGGGTGCAGGATTTAATGGTCCATCTTGCCTTGCGCAGGCAAAGCTCATTTGTACCTGAACCTCAGGCGCTGGTCTCACTTCTGGCTGCACAGACAGACCTGACAGGGGGTCCTCCTTGTGCTGGGGTGTCAGCTTCTCTTCCAGAGAGTCTGTAACTGCTTCAGAGCCCGAGACCTTTGCTGGTTCCTTTGCAAATCTAAAAGTGAACGAAGCAGCAGTGATTTTCACCTGCCTGCTGGTTCCTGGGCTCCATTCAACAGCCTTTCTTCCAGCTTGGACCAAAGCCTCAACCCAGCCCCAGGCAGATGCATGTTAGTTGGATGTCTGCTGTCAAATTCCCTCCCGCATTTGCATCGTGCAGGCGCTGGGCTTCGTGCTGTACAGAGATGAAGGTAACTCCTGCTTTGGAATGGCTTTAACCTGCCCGAGGGGAGACTGAGATGAGCTCTGAGGCAGAAGCTCTTCCCTGGGAGGGTGCTGAGGCGCTGGCACAGGGTGCCCAGAGAAGCTGTGGCTGCCCCATCCCTGGCAGTGCTCAAGGCCAGGTTGGACACAGGGGCTTGGAGCAAGCTGCTATAGTGGAAGGGGTCCCTGCCCGTGGCAGGGGTTGGAGCTGGAGGAGCTTTAAGGCTCCCTCCAACCCAAACCAGTCTGGGATTTGATGATAAATTCTGTGAGTGCCTCCTGCGGGATGAGGTGCTAAGGACAGTATTTCCTCAACCTAACGGATGTCACTGTAAGGAAAGTAACACACATCAGTGGTAGCCAAATGCTGCCAGCTCCTAGCCACATGCGTGGTCAGCCTGGTAGACCCTGGGTCAGAGGGTTGGTGAGGTATTACCCTTCAATACCTGATCATCCTTCCCCACAGGGTGCTCAGACATTGGAACAGGCTGCCCAGGGCAGGGCTGCAGTCACCGGCCCTGCAAGTGTTCACAGCGTGGAGATGAGACCTCAGTGCCATGGGTTAGGGGTGGCCTTAGTGTTGGGCAATGGTTGGACTGGATGGGCTTAAAGGGCTTTTCCAGCCTGGTTGATTTTATGATTCTATGGTTTTGGGCAACCCTGTGGTGCAGGATACACAGGATTCTTATGGATGCTTTAGGGCTGTATTATATTTCTTTATATAGGTATTACATATTTCTATAGTAGAAGCAGTCAGGAGATCCATGAGGACAGAAAGAGAGGCCAGGAATTCTGTCACACTTGTCGGCTCCAAAGTCAATTGTCAGATGCTGCAGGGTCACCTCTGGTAAAGGTGAATATTTGCCTTTTACCTTCATTTTCATATAAACCCCCCTTTCCCTCATGTTTCCCAAGGCGGTTAAAGCTGAGAGGCACAGTGCGCTCTGCCGGGGGGCACATGGCATAGGGCAGCGTATGAATGCCATCTACTGGCTGCATTCCCGGGCTCTGGAGCAAGTGTCCTCCTTCCAAAGCCATCCCCGTCTCACCGAGGCATTCCATTGAGCGCATTCTGACGGGCTGAGGCAGCCCAGCGCTGGGACCCCATTTTCTCTGGGTGCTCTGGGATGTATAAAGCGAACACTGCACCAAGCTGCTTCCCCAGCGCTGCAATTCCTCCAGGAATTCTGTGCTGAGCCCAACTCCTGTGGAATCCTGCCGGTTCGGAGGAGCTGACAGCAAGGCAAGGGAGAGCGCCGTGCAGGATCAGGTCCTTGCTGGCACTGGGTGTTTCCCCAAGCAGCTGCTTCTGCCCTGCTCCAGCCTCTCTCCAGGGTCCTCTCACTTGGAACAGTGTGGGTTAATGTCACCCGACAGCTTGGTTTTCCGACCTGTGAGCCGAGTACTCACATGATGGGGAGAAAAGGAGGGGATGTGGAAAGACAGTGATTTCCATGCGAGCATCCTTCTTTTATTTCCCTTGATTTTGATGCCCATTTTTAAGCAGTGAGAGCTTGTGCTGATGGGGACTTTCTGCAGCCCTGCAGGTCGCCAGCAGCCCCGAGGCTCTCGGTTCCTTTCCCACCTGTAGGAACCTGCGATAGAACTTACTGGCTTGTTCAGCAGGGCTAATGTTATCCTTTATCCCTTCTGGCGTTATCCTTTATTACAGCGAACCCAGCTGCTGCTTGGACGCGGGTGGCAGCCGCCGTCGAACCTGTTTCCGAGGCTTGCCATGGGAGGGCAGTGAATCCCCCCCGACCGCTTGTGCCTGCAGCGGGAGATGCTCGGAGCGGGCTGTAGAGGTCCCCTCGCACCAGGAGATGAACGGGACTTGGGACGGGAAAGGCTCCTTTCTCCAAGGGGAAAGCAGAAGCGGTGAAGTTTGACCCTAGTGCGGTGCCTCCTTGAAGATGGGCTGAGATGCTTTCTCCAAAAGCCAGGTTTGAAAAGGTCCCGCTGCTGAACCAAGGCTCTTTGCAAAGGAAAGGGTAAGAGACGCTCACTGGGCAGAGCGGGACTTTGCTGGCAGCCAAACTCTGACCCTCTCCAGACTGCACAGGTGCCGAGAGCTCGCAGTGCTCTGCACACTGCAGGGCTATGGCTTGTTCCTGTGCATGCACAGCTGCAAGGTTTGCATGCGTGTCTGGTTTCAAGGAGCCTGGTTGAAGGTTTAGGGCATTTTAAATGTCTTGTCTTCGTGACCAGGACATTAAAACGTTTGCATCTGGAGAGCATCCCAGAGAGGGAGGTCTGGGCATGAATGGGGTCCGAGATCTCCACACTCTCCTCTTTCTCTATTCATACTCTGGTTTCCTGAACCCATCTTTAGGTGGAGATGATGACAGATCCCGACGCTCCAAAAACCCAGATGAGAGATATCCATAGACCGTTTCCTTTACTTTCCACCCATTTTTGAGGTGGAAACTGGGCATTTCCCAATCTTTCCCCAAGTCACTGGCATTCCCACGAACCCATCAGCCCAGCTGATGCGCCCATCAAATGCCGAGGGCTGATGGTGGCTGGTTCCAACACGCTCTGCCAAGTGGGCCCAAGCTTGTGAGTCTGATGAGGAAGGGAAGAAACGGCTGCCTTAATAAGTGCACTGCATCAGCAGGAGCTGAACCTCGTACTGAACTGCAGAGAATCCACACAGGCACGGGACATTGTGAAAACAAAGCTCTGGGAAGGGTTTTCAGAGTTGACACCTTACTGGAGGAGCCAAGCAGGAGGTGTAAGGTCTGCACAAACGCAGCTTGTTCAGACAAGCTGCTCTTTGAAATGCCTGTGGTTTCCCCTGCTACTGAGCTGCCTCCTGGTTTTCTCCCATTGCAGGTCAGGCCGAGGTTAAGGTTTCCTCTTCCTTTCTGAGGGTAAGAAATGTACGTTTTCTTTGAAACACTCCAGTGCAAAAACCCCACAAACTGGAGCTCGAAAGCAGCACGAAGCTCGCCGAGACCCTCAGACTCCCCAGGGCTGGTGGTGCTGCAGCTCGTGGTGGTTTGCTGGGGCTGGTGTATCCCTATGGAGGCGATTGCAGCGCCTGGGTGATAAAATCCCACATAATGAGGCTGGTTGAGACTGGAAAGCACCTCTAGGGATTGTCCAGTCCAACCCCCTGCTCAGCACAGGAGCAGCCAGAGGGGGTTGCTCAGGGCTGTGTCATTCCTCCAAGGATGAAGACTGCCCAACAGCTCTGCACGACCTGCTCCAGCGTGCTGGATGTGTTGGGATGTGTTTTACCCTTCCAGTCAAAAACCATCCACGCTTCTCTTCCATCGAAAAGGGATTTCCTGTAGTTCAACTCACGGCTCTTGCCTCCTGTCCACTGGGCACCAGTGGGAAGAGTCTGGCTCCAATCACTTTAAGCTAGCCTGGCTGAAATTCAGAGGAAACAGTTGTTTGTAGGGAAAATAAAAGCTATTTTGGTTCCTTTGAAATTATTTACAACTTGAACCGAAGTTTGAAGGAAAAAATACAAGAGTATTTTGAGGATGAAAAGCATCAGGCCTTGCTTGAGATACGCTTGAAATTAAACGCTTCAACTTTTTATTACGCTGTGACATTCTCCATTTGAAATTTGCCTGCCTTTGATTAAAAAGGCTGGGGACTGCAAGTGCCTTCAATGTTTTATTTTGGGGAGAACAAAATGTTTTCATTGCCTCCACTTAAAGAAGAAAAATATTTTACTGGGGCAAATAGAATCCTAGAAATCACAGAAAACAGGAAGGTTTCATCCCAGCTTGATCTAAAGAGGAAGAATTTTCCTCTTCCTGCTTTTTTTTTATGTGATTTTCAAAGGATAGAGCAGCTGTTTGCACCCGTCCTTCACCTCTGGGGATCCCCAAGAGGAGCTTGGGGAGGAGGGACAATGGGATCTGGTCTGTCTTTGGAATGTGGCAGTGCTCAAGGCCAGGTTGGACACAGGGGCTTGGAGCAAGCTGCTCCAGCGGAAGGGGTCCCTGCCCGTGGCAGGGGTTGGAGCTGGAGGAGCTTTAAGTCCTTTCCAACCCGAACCATTCCGTGATTCTATGGTTGGATCGG